TTCTTTCTGTCTTTCTTGGTCTGTCTTTTAATGGTTCTTATAGTCTAATCCTTTTTCTCTGAATGTAGTTCTTTATTAACTTTCCTGTTTTTTATTACCCTAGTTCTAGTGCTCTAGGTTTGTGTTTTTAAACTTTTTTTTTTCATCTGTTTATTTCCTTTTTATTCAGTCTTTGAATCCTCTGTTTTTTACTCAGGACATTTTAGATTTAAACACTTCTTCATTTCTTTTGTACAGATTAGACTCATGTCCAGATTATAATCCCATTTTTTGTAGACAATTCACACATTTTAAAGTTACTTAATCCATCCTTATAACAAATTTAATCTCTATCACAAGATAATCTTCTTACAAATTCCAGACATTTTAGATTTAAACACTTCTTCATTTCTTTTGTACAGATTAGACTCATGTCCAGATTATAATCCCATTTTTTGTGGACAATTCACACATTTTAAAGTTACTTAATCCATCCTTATAACAAATTTAATCTCTATCACATGATAATCTTCTTACAAATTCCAGACATTTTAGATTTAAACACTTCTTCATTTCTTTTGTACAGATTAGACTCATGTCCAGATTATAATCCCAATGATTTAAGTGTATCAAAACCATTTTTCCCCTGTGTAAAATAAACATATTTTATCTTGTATACATTCACTATCCTCTTCACACAGCTCCTATATAATCTCTCCGATATCTCTGGATTAAAAAAAACAAACAAAAGAGTTGAATATGTAGTCACAAATGCTTTGTTGAGTTTTGTAATTTGTTTTTTACATATACTTGCACTGGTAAATTTAAACCACAAGTTTTCACCCACCTTTCATTAGGGTGTCTTCTAGATCATCTGTTTGCAAAGACTGAGATGTTGTGGTTCCAATGTCCTGATTCTTTTCCTGTGTATTTTGTTTCTCAGCCTGCTGCTGTTTCTCTTCAGGTGTGCTGAGTAGAGCGTCTGCCTGTTCCTCAGACTGTCGTGCAGCTTCTACCCGATCCATAAAAACCTGAAGGATAATAATTAATAAACACTCTAAATTATGAAAGACCATGAGAAGTAAATAATGAGAATATAACTTCAAACCCATGCAAAGGTGCAGAAAAAGAATATGAAAACCTACCGGTGGAGGAAGCTACCTATACATTTCAGAGTATAAAGAACTAAAGGATATTAAGAATGGATATAAAAATTAAAATACTTCTCAAAACTATCCTTATGAAATGTGAAATTTCAAAATTTTCTGATGCATAAAAGTATTTTTTATATTAAAATGAATATTACTTTCCATGATAAACAGGCAAGATGCAAAAAGAAAAAAAAAAGACATGAGAAAAACATTGCTTTATAAACCTTAAGACTTAATAAACAATTTGATATTTTGCATATGAAAGCATTGAATGTTTACTGATACTCTGCCAAATTTCATTAACATTTGCTTACTAATTTAAAAGTTATAGCATAAAAACTATAACAAGCACAAAATTGTTACGAGGTCTGTCTCAGGGAACAAGCCCTTGCTAAAAAAGTTAATCAAAGTCACAAGCTTGCAATGCAAAAAAAAAGGTTATAACTGTTATTTTTAAAACAATTTTAAAGAATATTCGTTTAAAATACAGTCATCACTGCAGGAATAATAATAATATATTTAAGTATCATAACCTGAAGAAAAATTCTGCTCCTCTAGATTTAATTACTAGTACTGAGTGTAGTAAGAGCACTATAAACCTATGTCACACCTCAACAAATGCTTCAACTGCTGATACTTCTTCACCATCATTCTGGGAATCAAATGATCCAACTGTTTGAGCAAAGATAAATTTTTCTCTGTTGTCTTTACAATTTTCCATCAGGTTGATCATCAGGCCTAGAGACTACAAAACAAACATATTTTCAATAAAAACCATAAATTGTTTCCCACACCACTTTATTTACTCTACAATAACATAAATAACTTACAACCTGATCTATCTAATAGTATTTAAACTTTGTCTGTAGCTGTTTTCAAAGCTGAACTCTTCATTAGTGAGAGTTCAGACCATATGCTGCAAAATAATAAAAAGTGAAAACAAAGAGCTATAATAATAAAACTCAAACAGAGAAGAAAACTCACGAGAGAAACAAGACAAGGATAACTTTATCCTCAAGAGATGATAGTTTCTTAATAAATATAAACGTATGCTCTTAGATGGGCTAAAAAAGTTAAAAAAAAGAAGCTAATTGAGAGACTCCTTGGAACTGCAAAAATAGGTAAGACTGAAATTGTTTATCACTTTTCTTTGCACATTACACTAAGTAAGTGTTACAAAATGATAAAACGTTAACTACAAAATGTTTTTTTTTAATTAAAAATTGTTGCAATAAAGTTAGAATTATTACTTTTATTTAAATTTTGAAATCTGACACTCAACAATCGAATGGTACTCACTTGCCACGGTGGGGCTAGAAATTAAATATACAGAAAACACATTTAGTAACAAATATTAATATGAGCTGTTCAAAGTTAAGCCAAGGCACAGAAATATCAGTTTGAAAATAAGTTAAACTTCTGAATACGAGTCCAACAAATGAAAAATACACGTTTAAATCTAATAACTGTTTCCTACCAGTACTAGCAGATCAAATCTCTGTTCCAGAGGCATATACTGAGGCATCTGAAGAATGCACAATAAAGCACAATCCAACAAGCCAGGGTGAGAACCTACCAGCTGGCAACCTAAGGCTAAAAAAAAAAAAGGAAAACAAATTACCACTTTCATGTTCTGATTTTTACTCAAAGTTTGTTTCTATAAATGTGATATTATTTAGCAAGATTAATAAGAGCTCTGGCCTAGAAGTAGTTCACATGTTATCATACTTAACTTGACATGTTATTTAAAAATGCTGGACTGATAAAGCCTAAAACCTGGTAGAAACTTAATTTTTGTTATTAATTTCTTAATATATGAAATTTTCCAAGAAATATACCTTGTGCATACTTACAACTTTCATGAGTTAAATTTAGAAGAACTTTCAAAAGTGATAATAAACAGGATAAAAGAGCAGCTCCTACTCCTTCAAGGTTGCTGAGAGGGATTGCCTCACTTCTAGCTGGTGTACACAAGAGTGGATGGTGAGGAATACTCACTCTGCATGCTCTTAACATTCTAACAAACACAAAAAAAAAATTATCTTCATATAAGATTTTCATTATCAGTACAAATAATTATAAGATTAATGCAAGTGCAGTTAAACATAAAAAAACTAAACATCATTTATTTTATTCGTATTGTTGTTACATCACTCATAGAATGGGCTAAATTAATATTTGCCACCGAACACTAACATAATAATAATAATCTGACTTAAAATTCTCCATTTTATATTTTTAGATGTTTATTTGTTTGAAAAATTCATACAAAGCTACACAAGGCCTATCTGCACTAGTCATCCTTAATTTTGAACTTATAGGCTAAGGGGAAACAGTTAAATAATAGCAATTTCAACTTTTGAGTTACTCTAACCAAATAGTGGGATATGACAGTCACTCTTTTAAAAAACCCATGGCCTCAAATTGCACAATAGTTTTTGCAATGGTGGGATTTAAACCGTGAACCTTGAATTCACAGACTGGGCATACTAACTTCCAGGTCATGTCAGATTCAACATTTTTTTTATATGTAATATTTCTTAAGGTTAAGGAATATTCTTAATTTTAAGTCCAAGATAATAGATACATGTTAAACCTGTGTTTTAATTGGTCTTTAAAGGGTTGTATCTTTTATTGAGTTACATCTCTAGACCTATATGAAAATTTTAAAGTTTAACTGAAAATTTTAATCTTACTTTAAAAATCAATAATGAATCAATGATTTAGAAATTGTTTAATTTTTAAAATATAACAGTCCATCATCATGTGATCATACCAATAAATGTATAAAGTATACAGTCTAACTTCAGGACAAAATCTAATTATAATGCTGGCAAGGATTCCAATGTTATTTATAAATTAAGACTAAATGAAATAGCATGTTTTTACTGTAATGGATAAATTGTTGTCTGTAAAGTTCTGCTGTCTAAACTACTCTGTAGCTCTTCATCTATGAGTAAATAAAATCTTATGCAATACACGAGTTTGAATAAATTGTTTGCAATTAGGACTAAATGAATCATCATGTTTTCACTATGCTACAAAAAATTGTCTGCAAAGTTCTGTTATAATATTATGTATACATAGCAGTGTCCTTAACAACCAAGCAACACTGATACAATTTGTTGCCCAGCTTTAAAGGCAACATTGAAAAATGTTTCATACCATGTGATGTGTTCTCGATCAATCACAGCAAAGAATTTTTGCTGGGGAGTACAATAATTGATATTAATCACTCAGTAGGTCTAAGCATTTAAATCTTCAGTGAAGCTTGGTAATCGTATTGAGCAGTGATAAACTTTTCCTTATTTTTGACTCTGTGACTATTCAACTATAAACACTTGAAGTACTTCTTTGTGACTCAGTAGTCTGTATAATAAAATAATGATTACGTAATGCTACATAATAAAAGTTGAAATTCACAGGTACTCTTTGTTTTGAAACATGATTAATTATGGTGGTACATTTGTTTAACCTCAAATATTTAGAATTCATAAAAAAAAGACTTTTCCCTGTGATGTTAAAAAATAATAAGACTACTATTCACAAATTCTTTTTTCTTCATTTCTGTTGAAATGCTACAAATTTTATTGTAAAATTTGTATTAAAAGGGTTTTTACTTTTTCATCACTTTATAGTACACCCTGCCACAGCTTATACATTTTGAATGAGCAGTGCATAGCTTTGTGTAATTTAAGTCCCTTAACTTTTCTACATAAGATGGAGATGAGCCTGATTTAATCCTGGAACTTCTTGGCATGCACACGTAATCAATTTTACAGATGCAATAAACTATTTATGTTTCAAGATTGTTGACAGAATCAAATGTGGCACACTACAAAGATTAAGGAAAAATAACTATTAGACAGACAGCACCAAATATCTTTTACAAACCAGACCTCTGGTACGTAACACAGGATAACATTAAAGCTTAACAGAGCAAAACTAATCGGCTTGAAACATGACAATATCAAAGCCATTTAATGACAATATCCCCAACATATCTGACACATAATGATAATACAGTCAGTTAATGGCAATATTTACTGTTTGACTTATTATAGACATGACCATACCAGAGCTGGTTAGTAACAATACTGTTATATTAATCTGAGTAATAAGAGAATATCAGAGCTGGTTAGTGACAATACTGATTTAGTAATCTGAGTAACACAACCATACCAGAGCTGGTTAGTGATAATATTGATTTATTATGCTAAGTAATACAAGAATACCACAGCTGGTTAGTGACAATACTGATTTATTAAGCTAGGTAATACAATAATACCACAGCTGGTTAGTGACAATACTGATTTATTAAGCTAGGTAATACAATAATACCACAGCTGGTTAGTGACAATACTGATTTATTAAGCTAGGTAATACAAGAATACCAGAGCTGGTTAGTGACAATACTGATTTATTAAGCTAGGTAATACAAGAATACCAGAGCTGGTTAGTGACAATACTGATTTATCAATCTGAGTAACACAATATAACAGTATTGTCAAACTTACTAACATAGGAATTTTGTATTTTATCAGGTGACGTATATGAATGTTGATAATCAAGCATATCTCCTTAGCTATAAGGAATCAACTTTGGTATCATCATGTGTAAGGTAAGCCAAACATTATTATCATTAACCAGATTTGGTATTCGTGTGTGTTACTCAAATCAATAAAACAGTTTTGTTACTAACCAGCTGTGGTATGGTTGTGTTACTCAGATTGATAAATCAGTATTGTCACTAACCAGCTCTGGTATTTTAATTTGAGTAACACAACCATACCAGTGATAATACTGATTTATTATGCTAAGTAATACAAGAATACCACAGCTGGTTAGTGACTATACTGATTTATTAACATCTATATATTCACATAATCTTAAAAGATAAACATAAAAACTTCCATTCACTGGTTTTATCAATTTAACAAACGTCAGAATAATCTCACAAACTAATGAATTTAATTCTTTAACCAACTTATTACCTGTTTTCAGTAACAAGTTTATTTTAAATTTGCTTTGAGGATGTTAATAGCAGTAGTTAAGTAAATAATTTGGTATATCAGTATTTAAGTTTACAACTTTAACTTCTCTTGACAGACTTTGAATTTTCTTGAAATATAGTATGCAAATGTATCATGTAAAAACATGTGAAATATAGATTGATAATAAGATAAACACAGCAAAAGTATAAGATTATAAACGGTGAAAAGCAGGCATGTCAAGTTTCTCTAACAAAATACGACATACTGAATGGTTGCCACAGTGAATAATCATTGTATTAAAACCATGGTATTTTATTTTTTGAAACTTAACAAAACTATTAAAGAAATATTAGGTGTCAAACTTGTTAACAAGGTACCCTCTTTTTAGAAAATAAAAGTTTTTAGACAGCTTGACTGGGTAATGTTATATTAGGTGTCATGTGACTCAAAATGATCATATACACGTAAGATATCAGATTAAAAATCATCAAAGCAGTATTAGAATATCTGAAAGCAGATGAAACATTTACAAAGACAAAATTACAGAAATATATCATCTCTGGGGTAATTTGAAGAACTCACATTTTCTAAAACTCGAAGACATCGATCTATCTTTCGTATCCTATCCAACTGGACATCCTCTGTATGTTGCAATGGTTCTTGTGGATCAAAATATGCTACACATGTTTTAACTGAAAGAAAATATTCTTTTTATCAATTAAAAATTATTTCAATATCCACACTCTAATACATTAAAAAAATAATGTACTCTGCATTTTTTTTCTTGTTCGCATCAGTTTGAGAAAATATAAAGTGATCATGGTTCATATTTTGCTATGCTACAATAAGAATCAAATTTCAAGAATCTTATTACAACTAAAGAATGCTGATATTTGTTGATGCTTTCTAAAACTGGTAATCAAATTCCAAATTCATCAAAATTAAAAATGTAGTGTTTATTTAGCCCTCCCTAATTTTTAACTTATAGACAAGAAGCAGCAAGTCAACACTATCAACTGCCACCTCTCAGATTACTCTTTACCAATGAAGAGTGGGATTGACCATCACATTATTATGTCCTCATGGCTGAAAGGGTGACCATGGTGATGGGTTTCCATCTTGCAACCCTCAGAGTGAGTCTATTGCCCTAACCACTAGGTAATGCCATGCAGCAGTATGTAATGACTAACATGTCTTAACATAGTTATAATCACATCTTGTTATCAGTTTAAAATTTTTTAATCATAAACTTCTTCCATTGGAGTGAAACACTAATAACTTACGAAGAAAGTGACCATCACTCTATTTTCTCAATCATTCTTTTCACTTGTGAAACAAAAAATATTTGCAGTGAACAATATTACTTATCACACCTGTGTCCACTATATGATCAAGGCCTCCAAGGGTTCGAATGTCCTCTTTAAACCATTCACCAGCTTTTCGGGAAGACAAACTCAAGAGTGTTTCTGTAGCTAAATTCCCAGTCTGCAAAACAAAAAGTAAATAAAAAAAAAACACTTAGCTATTAAAAATCTTTAAACATGTTTACTTATGTTCAACGAAATACATATAAATCTTGGTAGAACATTTAACATTCAACATTTTTTTTATATTATCAAAGTAATTATTTGTATAATGTTCTACACTGTACCCAATCACAGAGCTCAATTATATTTTGTTCTCATGAAATTTATTACTTTCGTAATTTACTTGTTTAATAAACTCTGTAAACAACTCGTTAATAAAGAACATTATTTTATTTTTCCACATTTCACTGAAAGTTAATTCTGCTTTATAGATATCTACTACTTTTTACTCAATAAAAAATACCTTACATTAATTTTGTCTAAACTCAGATGTTTTGCATGTCCTTTGAGCTTCATTTGTTCACAAAGCTGTACAACTTTCTCTCGGTTTTTAGACACTTGCACTCTGCCAGAAAGGGCATCTCCATCTTCAGAGGAGCTCTGTGACATAAGCTCTAGATCAACATCTTCAAGGTCAGTTTCCAGAAGTTGCAGCATCAGTGAAAGTGATCCAGCATCCAGATCTATGGTGAGTCGGTCCTGGCTGAGAATAAATAGGAGAGTGGCTGTGCACAGTGCAAGGTTCTGTGGGTAAATAAACAGTAAAAATGATATAATGCCTGCTTGAATAACTATTAATACATTTATTATAATTACAATCATCTAACAGTACTATAGCAGTACTAACAATTTATAATGTTTACACTGTACAGCTTACTGTAGCAAATAATGATACAGCAATTTTTGTATTCTTCAAAATTGTTGATTATATGCATACAATACATAGTTTACATTAAAATGGTCACCTGTTCACCACAGTTATTATATTTTATGATGCAAACTGGGAGTCACAAAATTGGGATATGAATTTTGCATGTGTACTTATTTGTGTTAGAATCTTGTATATTTCTTTTTTAAAACAGATAACATAAACACTAGTAACAAAGAACTATTTATCACAAAATGTCAAACGACTTAATGTCTATATGATGATTATCCAAGATGGTATTATGGTATATCACAATTAATCAATCATACATTATATGTTGGATAGTAAAAACATATGCTTCAAGCTCAGTATATTAATAAATAATGGAGCTGAGAAATTAATAGAATTTGCTAACTGATTAATTATATGGCTCTTGAATCAATTACATTAAACTAATCAATTATTCTCACACAAGATTTGGATAGTTGGAATAATCATGAATAGTAATAATCGTACACACTGATTTCAATTAGTTCATTAAATTTCAAAAATTTTGACACTGATTGATTAAGCTGAACAACTTTGAATTAATTAAAAATAATAATTACAAAAATTAAAAAAGCATGTGTGAATTGTGTGTGTGTGTTCCTTAACTCTCAACACAATACTATAATAAACACACCCATGACAATCTACTCTTATTACCAATAATATCAAGCAAACCTCTTAATAATAAACTACATATTAACTCATAAAATCAAGTGCTCTTTAGAAGTTATTCTGGACACATTCAAGTACTATCAACCCAATTATGTAATGTAAATATAAATAATTCACAACCAGAAGCAGATAAATTAGAGAAATGAGTCTGAAGAAAAAACTAAAGTTGTGGTAATTCAAGAATTCTGCAATACCCAGAGAGTCAAGGACCTAGTATATGTATATGTCTGCAAGTCGAACAAAATAGACAAGACTCTCAGTGCAAAGCTGAAGCAATAATAAACACCTTATTTAATGAAGAAAACAGTAATCAATGGTACAGATAGAGGGCAATTGTTTAGTTGTTCAAGTTAAAAGAGAAACAAACAAATTAACTATATTTAATGAAACAAAAATTAAAATAAACTTTGCTTTGGAATAGACTGAAACTGTCTGACTGACTGGATGATCAAAAAGAGAGGTAATATGATTTACAGAACAGGTTCCACAAAGACAGTTAAAAACCAGGACGAGTTTTGCCTCTTCCAAGTCAGAAAATGTTTAATAGCATCAAAACTGTATTTACAATTAACATTCTCTCTTAGCTGACCAATCAGAATACTGAATCATAAGAAACCAGAAATATCTCTTCTTCATGTGACAGATGTAGTGGAGACCCTATACACAAGATGAAGTAGGACATTACAACAATGATTCCAATGTGTGTGCAGGAGGGTGCAATATTGCTGAAAGGGGTGTGTGGTATATCTTAGTATAGTCTTGAAATAAACTGGTTATCATGATTAATAAAATTTTAAGATGACCAATAATGGGGTTCAGAAACTGGATAGATTACTGACCTATATTCTTAGATTAAGAGAAGTGGGCGAAACAAGGAAGGATGGTTGTAATTAAGGTAAGCATAGGATAAAAAAAAGGTTGCAAGCTGCTGCACTATAATTATCCCACGAAACACCATATGAAGTTTCTAGACTTTTCTTCTTATAGCTATAGGTTGTCTTGACATTATCTATATTATAGCACTAATTTTTTACTTTTGTTTTAAATTATTATGAAACACTAAATAACCAAAAGTGCTCAATGCAGTAACATTGCACATAACTAGTAGCACAAATAACTGACAGTGAAATGGTTACAGAATATATGTTTATTGTAAACTTTAGCATTTCATAGATATGTAAATACACACTAAAAAAAAAGAGAAGGAAGTTTCTTTAAGACAGCAACTGGTTTTAAGTCAAAGAAAATTAACTTTATTGTGCCAATTTTTTTTATTTTAAACAAACTAACATAAACAGAACTATATTTTAGTTGAACAACTGCTTTTATATGAATACAAAAATGCTTATCACTTAAGTTATTCTCAAATTCTATTCTTTGGAGAATATTCTAGAAATGCTTAATTTTATATTATAAACTACTAATGACACATATAAAAGATGAATCCCCAAAACAAAATTCATCAAAAACAGATCCAATTTGACAGTAATATTATTAAACATGCATTATAAAAACAAAGAATATTGAAGAATATTTTCAAAGATGTAGGGAAAATGTCACTTTTACTGAATTTTTGTTCTTGTGCATCTTACTATCTATCTATATACTACTAAAACTCTGAGATTGTTTGCTTGTCTGTAATTAAATACAGCAAAAATGGTGCATAATATGAGAATAGAAATATTAAGAGAATATGAGAAATGAGCATAGAAACAGAATAAAACAAGTTTCATTAAAATCAGGCCAAGGGTTACCGAGTTAGAGTCATTTTTCGGGTCACTTTTATGAAAATTTCTAGCATGAGTAATTTTACATCACACTACCATTCATGCTCTTTACGAAACTTCTTCGTTCAGATCTATTTCCCTATTTCATCAAAAGATGGCAACGTAAGCACAACAACTTTAAGATGCTTATCATTAAACAACATACAAGCACATGTAACGTATAGTGTGTGATATGTAAACCATAGTTACATTAAAATACTTTTGTCAACTTCGCTGGTCATTGAAAATGAATTTGACACTGTAATGTAATTTTCATAAGCTGTTTTGTTTTGTGAAGCATTAATTAGAACCAAACATGCCATTGAATGCAGCATTTAGGTGTTGTGCTGACTTACGAAAGTATCCCATACATCTATCTATCTTCTATATACTACTAAAACTCTGAGATTGTTTGTTTGTTTGCTTGTCTGTAATTAAATACACCAAAAATGGCACACAATAGCACCATATTTGTAAGAATATGGTACCCCCCTAAAATGAGAATAGAAACAGAATAAAACAAGTTTAGTTAAAATCGGGCCACGGGTTACCAAGTTAGTGCTGTTTTTTTGGGACACTTTTATGAAAATTTCTAGCATGAGTAGAATAATTGAGTAGAGTAATTTTACATCACACTACCGTTCACACTCTTTACAAAACTTTTTCATTAAAATCTATTTCCCTGTCAATGTTCCTATCTTCATTAAAAGATGTAAGATGACAAAAACAAGATCTTGAAGAATTTCTCAATAATGTGCCTTGGTTATGGTAGGTAAGGAAATGAGAAAATTTTCTCAGTCAAAAAATTATTCACTGTGAGACAGTGAGAAAGATTTTTCATTTGGTGAGTTTCATAGTGTATCAGTTATCAAGTTTTGCTGTTTCTTGCAGTAATTTGAGCAAGTAAGTATAAGATGTTTTTTTGAAATAGCATTGTTTGGTTTTTTATAGCAATTACGTTCTAATAAACCAGGAATAACATTACTATTACCTGTTATTTCTTATTTTCAGGCATTTTGAATCAACTGTGAATAAGATTTGTTCATCACAATACCTGAAAACTCTGACTTCACTTTTCTGGAAAATGAAATGGTCTTTCCTTTTACTCCTGATCAACAATCAAATATCTTTTCTTCAATTATGAATAACATGAATAGATTGAAATATTTAATTAAATTATCTCAAAATAAACCTTCATTTCGGTGCAATATTTAAATTAGCTTGAATTCTTCATGACCTCTGAATAGTGGGTGATCCAATCGGTTATGGGTGGTCTAGTATTCAATAATTTTGACAATGAAACTTTCAAATGGTTCATTTTTAGTTATATGGTATTGGCTATGCACAACAAGTGAAAGATCCACACTACCACATATTAATGAGGGTTAATCTACATTTTATAAATATTGTATTCCAGGTCCTATGATATTTTCGAAACTACTTTATTCATACAAAATCTGATGACCATGATTATATGTTATTGCTCACCATTACAATTTCCATTTTAACAAACTTCAATGAATGATAGAGGGGTCATATTTTGAGAAATTTCTATGTATCTTTCACTGTACATGGACATCAGCTTCCAAGACCACATTAAAGTAAACAAAAGTTCACAGCTTCACTGGGGTACTTGCTGTGATTCAAGTTTCTTTGCCATCTTTCTCATGAAAGTAGAGGTAGATTTTGAATTGTGGCTGGAAGCTTGAGTGTTTTTGTCAACTTACACCAATGACTTCTTGGGTCAGAGGGTTCTCTTTCATAACCACAGTCTTTATTTGGAAGACTGGCTTAGGATATGATTTTGAGCACATTGCTGTATTAAACACTTTGCTCTATGAGTATGTTTTTTTCCATGCAGGTCATTGAAGACTCCTTTCTTTGAAAGTGTGGTGTCCTTTGCCTTTACCCTATCAAGAAACTCACTTTATGTATACCCTTCCCCAGAATGATGGGGAGTGACAATGATGGGAGTCATCTATAAAATGGTCATGACTTTTTTGTGAACCAAATATATATATTAAGCATGTCATCTGTGATGCCATGACTTGCATCAGCAGAACCATACCACTGTGTTGACATATGCAAATTGTTCTTATAAAATGTAATTCACCCAATTCAGTAAACTTTCACGTATATCACAAGATTGGATTTATGTTTATACAGCAGTGCTATACACAATTCACATACACCAATATTTGCTACTGTTTCATTATCACCTAAAGCTACAAACAAATAACCAATATGGAGAAAACACTATTTGTGTGTCACTAGAGTTTGAAGCACGGCATTTTCAACGTCATAAAAGATAACAGTAATAACATTGCCAGATGATGGTAAAAAAAAGAAAATAATAGCTAAATCATATATAATAAAAAGAATTAGGGGTAAATACAAAAAATGAGACTGGTCCATTTACAAGAAAAAACATTTTTTCTATACTTACTTGTATATTCAATAAAATTGGTTTATTGATAAATATGACTTGAAAAAATGTTCAACAATCTATATCTCATATTTAATTTTGAAATGCAGTTATGTTGGATTCTATTTTTATATAACTGTATTGCAATGTCAAAGTACTTTTAAATCTAAACTGATGCTTGAATAAAACAAACTACAAATGATCTATTATGATGTAATTACCCTAGAAGCACAAAAAAATCTCTCAGACCAAAAGAATTGCTCAATTAAGGTGTTTATACAATAGCCATATATATGAAAGAAAAATGAGATGAACACCTTACATTTTTTTTCTACTAAATACGAAGTAAAAGCATCACTTATAATAATACTGTTCTATCATAGTTCGTTTTTAAGTCCAATTATAAAAAAAAAGAACATAAATATAGCTTTTTAGCTGCTGTTATGATGTAAATAAAAATATGAGTTTTAATGAAGAGCATACATAAGCTTTGGCCATCCTGAAATTCGGACTAACCATTTCATCATCTTTGTTAAAATTATAGCTGTAATATATTATTTGTTGTTAAACAAGAAAACACACACTGAAGACTTGCAAACAGTTAGCATTATATAATGAATCATTCTCAAATAACTTATATGATATTCAATATCCTTTGATTATGATCATATCAATGCCTCGTTTGACAGGCCAAAAAACCTCAAAAATTTCTGTTTTATATATGATTATCAAGTGAAATACAAATTATTATTTTATGTGCCAAAAAAATTTAATTTCAAGATGATGAATGACAAACCAGTTAAATTTAAGTATACCATTAACATATGCAGTAACATCATGGAACAGTTAGGTAGCTTTTCACATGTAGTAAAGTTAGACTGGACTTATAATCTGGCTTTGGCATGGTTTTGGAATAACTATTTGTATAAAATAAGGCTATCTTTAACACCACAGTTTTGAGTCACTTTTACAACCAGATATTCTATTGTCAACCACCAGAATAAAAAATATTTTTTAGGTATATCTGTCACTTTTAGTTACTATTGTTGTACTACCTTACTATTATTTCCTTTTGTACTTCATAGACATTATGCATCTGACTAACTCTTGTGTACTATTACTTACCACGGCATTTCGGTTATGTATGCTCAATTTATTTTTGAAACATGATACACTTATTTGACAGCTTTATATACACATACACACAGTTGAACTTACTGGCTCTGTGGGAGCATCCATTAAGGCACTGAAGATCTTGGGAGCAGTTCCGTGGGCACGAATATGAATTCTAAAGGAGGGAACCATACACTTGGTGGCGAGGCTGAGAACACTGAAATTTAGAGAAAAAAAAAGTTTTAGTTGAAATGGTTGATCAGTAAAATAACTGTATCAAAATTCATTTTTCTATATCTCATTCCAGAATTATTTCCTAATTACCCCCCCTATCTATTAGCTGACAATAAAACACAGGTTATCATGATATATAGTAATAATAACATTTCAATACACAATAAAAACACCACTGCAGGAACAAGCTAACTAAATAATAAAATATCACAAGCTACTTTAACTACAATCTCTTGAAACTTTATTCTTATTCACACTGGACTTCATCGCAAGTTTATGAGAGGATGTACATATATTTGGCTAACCAAAAAGCAGCTTTGAATAAAAAGCCAAGTTGCTTGGTTAGCCCATAGAATAGTTTTTTAAATAAAGAAAGCTATTAACTTGGCTATCTCATATACCAGTTTAGCATGTAACCCCCCCCCCCCCTTAAAAAAATATATATAGAGGAAGCCAAGTTATTCTGCTACATGATGCAGAAAAACAGCCTTTTTTGGCTACTCTACAAGACTGATGTAGTTTTTAACACTTTGTCTTCAAAAACATTATTTGTCAAATTACCATAATTTTCAGATTTTGACAGTTTCTAAATGATGGTACCAATTTACATCTTAATTTCCTAATGTTGGTACAATGTTGTAGGTTCCAAAGACAGTGTGCAAACCTACATATTTCTTTATCTCAAAAGTCCAGCCAAATTCTATCCTTACACTCCAATAAAGTTAAAACTGAGTCTTGAGGCATTTGTGATGCAATAGCCTAGTTGCTTAAAGCATCTGAACATCATGTTTGGTTGAGAGTTTAAATCATGCCCAGTCTCAAATTCACTTCTTTTATGGCCACTTTTTCAATAGAGTTCATAACTGATATTTTTTTAATTAAGTAAATGCAGCTTGGTTATAATATTATTCTTTCTAATTTAATAGTTTAACTTAACTCTTAATTTTACCTTAAACATCTTGTTCCAATTCCATTAACAAACTGAAGACCTTCTAAGAGATATTCTACATCATCATTGAATTCCTGTGTTTCACCAAACTCATGACATTGGTGGGCTTTCTTCACATTCTTGACTACAGTATACAGCTGAAAGAGCAATCAAGAACTATCTGTATTAATAATTTTTTAAAGTGTGTACATTTAAGCTTTACCACATATTAAAACACACGCATAAGCTAAGTATGCCTTCAGTATCTACTCTTTATGAAAAATAGTTATGATGTATTGATGGAATGTGATAATGGTTGAACATTACCTCTTTAACTTTCCGTGGACATTTGTAAGAAGTGACAGGATCATGCCATGGTCTGGCTGGATGATGTACCAGTCTGGTTAAGACTGTTTGCATCTCTGGTACTTCTTCAAACTCTTTTACTAGTTGTGGTTTCTTGAAATTCTCATCCTAATGAATAAAACATTCTTTTATTAAAGAAAACATAAGAAGGAATGTTACCTAGATACACAAAAGGTAGACTGACTTTTTAACTTTTGAATCTGAAAGAATTTAACAGTAAAACCTGCAATAATTTGTTCAAGTACACACAATTTTTATTACTACCAAGTTTCCTCATGCTTTTTGTTTTATTATTGTTTAGACTGGAGTATGAAAAACACAAAAAGTAAAAGAAAGGAAAATAGAGAGTGCACGTTCTAATAAATACTCAATTAATTCCTTTGTGTAATACTTTACTATCATACCATAGAAGTAATTCCATGTATGATTTGTTAAAATTATTGAGTAAGTAATTTAGATGTAAATAGTTGAAACGTAATTAATTTTTACGTGTTAATTCAGTGACTGCTTCTCAAATCTACTTACCAATGGGATAAAACACAGCTGGTTTAAGAAAAAGCGTGATAAGTATATGAATGAAAGCGGTTGGGTTTAAAATTTTATTATTATTATTTTTTAAATAATTTTAATTTAGTTCTGAGGATGGAACAGTTTAATTACAGGTATGATTTCTCTGTCTGTACCTGTTTTTTCAGCAATTCTTCAAACTAGGACTATTGAATTTGGTTAGAAAAAATCCAGTGGCATGTATGTCAACTTGCATAGCTGTTATGCGAGATATACAAATATATATAAGTTCTGGTTTATTCTATTTCACTAAATATATACACTATTTTATTATCATATATATATATATGTATTTGGTAGGGCAAATAGGATTTTAGGTTGTATCTATAGAAATACTGAATACAAGTCTAAAGAGGTTATACTTTCATTGTACAGGTCACTGGTTAGGCCATATTTGGAATATT